AGGCCGTGGCGGCGTTCTCGCTGTCCTGTACCAGACGCATTGGGTAGGTCTGACTACTCCTTCATGGGAACGGGAATTCGACCTGATCTATTCCGTCGACACATCCGCTTGTACTGGTCCCGGGAGGCCTGCCAAAGCAAGCAGGGTAACCGTACATATCGAGTGACTCGGACTCGCGCGGCTCAGCGGGAGCTAGCCCGGAATCGTGGAGAACGCTATTTGCCTCCTGGGGCTGATCTTGTGCTTAATGCGACTTGGCTTCGCCGTTTCAGCACTTCGCCCCTCCCTGTTGGCGCGCGGCTGTGGTGCAAGGCCCGTGATGGATTGTGGTGGACCGGACGCATTGGTGCTGATCAGGGCGGCTCGTACATCGTTCGATTTTTGGATGACCCGGGCCCAAGTGTTCTGCCTCTGCCTGCGCATCTCCACTCCACCGCCTTGGACGCCGTCTGTGGATCATGGTGTTTAGAGAAACATCGTTCGCGCCCTCTGGGCGACAACCGTGGTCGCACTCCGCTCCTTGCTGACTCCTTACCGTCGGCTGTTCCCGCCGTTTCTTCTTAGCGTCGTCGTTTTGATATACCAATTGGCCTTTTTTGGTCTTCTGTGCCATCCTTCTCGCCGACATTTTTTTTTTTTTCCTCTGTCACCTTCCGTGTTGTTTTACTTTGTTTTGTTTGTTTTTCTGTCTTGTCCCTTTTCTCTCGTTGGCTTATATTGTTTTGGACGCTGGGGCAACGCCGCCTCAAGACACGCAGTGTCGAGTGATCCTTCTTCCTTGTTGCCTGCATGGATCTGAATCAGTGAACTGCCGCGACCTGGATGTCCGTTCTCTCTCGCCTTTGCTTCAATTTTTTTGTTGTTGTTGGTCTTTGGTTCTCTCAACAAGCTCCTCCCGAAGTTTCGTCGGTGTTGTTTGCCTCTGAACACTTGGAAAACGAGTTCCCCCAGCTTCGTCGGTGATGTTTGCCTCGGGAAACTTGGACACCGAGTTCCCCGCGTTTCCTGGTTCGCCTGTTTGCCAACTAATTTTGTCTTAAATGTTTTTTGTTTTCGTTCCATCGTACCGCAGAAGTGTCGCATACGCTTGGTGCTTTGGGATTCCATCCCGTGGCGTCGCCTTCTCCCATGGATTTTCGTCGTCACCCACACTTCGTTCTGCTTCGTCTCCATCATCGCCACCTTCGGGCGACGCC